AATGGAATATTCTTCAGCCATAAGAAGAAAACAAATCCTACCATTAGCAACAACAATGGATGGAGCTAGAGGGTATTATGCTCAGTGAAATAAGCCAAGCAGAGAAAGATAAGTACCAAATGATTTCACTCATATGTGGAGTGTAAGAACAAAGGAAAACTGAAGGAACAAAAACAGCAGCAGAATCACAGAACCCAAGAATGGACTAACAGGTACCAAAGGGAAAGGGACTGGGGAGGATGGGTGGAAAGGGAGGGATAAGGGTGGGGAAAAAGAAAGGGGGCATTACGATTAGCATGTATAGTGCATGGGGGGCACTGGGCGGGCTGTGCAACACAGAGAAGACAAGTAATGATTTTACAGCATCTTACTATGCCGATGGACAGTGACTGTGAAGGGGTATGTGGGGGGGACTTGGTGAAGGGGGGAGCCTAGTAAACATAATGTTCTTCATGTAATTGTAGATTAATGATATCAAAGTAAATTTAAAAAATAAGCCCCAGTCCATACCCAAGAGGAATCATACCAGGGTGTGAATACTGGGGTTCAGGATCACTGGGGACATCTTAGACACAGCCTTGACCCCTTTTCTCCCCTGCTCAGGAACTTCTGTTGACTTGCTGATCCTTCCAGGACATCCTTTCATAACATGCCCCAATGTCCACTTCATTCTCATTTTCCACACTCCAGTTCCCAAAAAAGGACTGAATTATCACACCACTAGTCCCTTGTATACACCATTCCCTTGTCTGGAATGCTCCCCTCAACCTCCCCAGACTTTTCTACCTGGACACCTCTCATTCATCCATTAAGACCCACTGCCTCTGCCAAGTCTGTCCTAACCCTTGCAGGCAGTTACTATGATCCCTAATCAGACCTCCCTTGGCCCCCTGTGCTGTCCACTAACACAGCACTTACACACCAAAATCATAATTGTCTCCACTTGGATATATCACAAGGTCTCAAATTTAACATTCGGAAGTTCATTTGTGCTGATTTTTGTATCAATGGGATTTAGCAGATGGATCTTGGAGCCACACCATCTTGGTTGCTGATGTTTAGAACAAGTTATAGAGCCTTACCATCTTAACTGGCATTACTAAAATGCCCAGAGGGAAGCCATTTGGTCAAAGAACCCTAAATAAAATAAACACATATGCTGCCATAAAGACAATCATGGTCCCCACAGGCTTCCATTGAAGAGGCTGAGTGAGTATGAGAAGTTCCTCCAGAGCGAACAGAGATGCTTCCCAACATGCCTCCATTAGTTAACCATCTGTTGTGGGCAAGTTATTTCTAAGCCTCAGTTTCCTAATTGGTAAAGATAAATAACTTAAATGGTTTCTATGGTTACCACAGGCCTAGTGCTATTCTAAACGCTTTAAATACGTTTATTTAACCCTTAGAACAATGGTATGAGGTAAGTACTATTATTCTATTTTACAGATGCAGAGGCTGGGTCAGAGGGAGTAACGCGCCAGGAAACACATGTAGTAACTGACATTACCAGGATTCAACAATAGGCAGTGAGGGGTGGGAGTCTGTCACAATATCACTTCACAGGCTTGTGCGGATTAAATGACAATGCGAGCGAACGGCGAGGGTAGGGCAACGCATACAGTTAAGTACTCTTTTTTTTTTAAGTCTCTCCCCTCTGAGAGAGGGAGCAAGCGAATTCAAGTATTATTTATTATACATTTGTGCATCCATTGACACCAAATCACATTTGAGCACCACTATAGGTAGACCAGTTAAGTACTCTTTAGTATTTTAAAATGCAAAACTCCTTGGCCTCCAGGTCAATAATTCGTTCAAAGCGCCTGATTTTTTCCGTGAAATCCGCGGGCAGTCTCCTCACCGATGTGAAAAAAAGATGGGTGGGAAAGACACCAGAGACAAGCCCCCCATGATCCATACAGCTCTCTGGTCATTTTACTCTAGGACCCTCCTCCTTTGTAAGTGGAAGCAGAGGTCGCTGGTGGACCGGAAGCCCACTTCCGGACTTACTTCGGGCCCTTCTAGCCGGGTACAAAGCTGACCACCCCTCCCTACGGCCCATTCTCCCGGGCCTGACCCCTTGGCCGTGGCTCCGCCCCCTACCCCCGCCCTCGGCCAAAATTCAGTTTTCCATTGGTGAAAGCGGGGAGCGGCGTTATTCGTCTTTCAACCAATGGACTGCTGACTCTTCTGTTAGGTGAAGTCAGTCCCTCCGCCGGGCCAGCAGAGGACGTAAGAGTCTGTGGCTCGAAATCTGCGAGGCTCTCTGACACGGACGTGACGCCATAACACCGGAAATCCGAGGCCTCCGAGACTAAGGGGGTGTGGCGTGAAGTTCGGCGACGGAAGGAAATGCGGTCGAAGTTTCGCAAGGTGATAGTAAAGGGTGTGTTTTCCACTTTTGACAGTCTCGGATGTTCAGATGAGAAAACTGAGCTGCTAGAGGGGGGCCGTGCGCATATTCACTCAGCGAGACCCTCTCCCGTGACCGGCGCGCTTCCCATACAATTCCGGAGCGGAGGGATGCCCCGTGTGGGGTTTGACTCCGGCTGAGGGAGGATTCCCTGAGGCAAGTCTCAGGGAAACAGCACCATTCCACAAATGGGGAAAACGAAACCCAGAGACGGGGACTTCCGGGGGGAGATTGCCAGGTTTAATAAATAAGCGGCAGGACGCCAGTTAAAGTTGAGTTTCAGGTAAACAGGTAAACAACAAATGTTTCAGTATAAGAATATCCCAAATAATGCACGGAATATATGTTTACTAAAAGTTTATCTGTTTATCTGAATCCAGATTTAACTGGGCATCCTGTATTTTTTTCCGGCAGCCTTAGGCAGGGTGTGACCCAGCTGAGTGGAAGAACAGAAAGAGTTTTTAGGCATCTTTATATGCCTCCCGCCAAAGGCTCACTATTGTGTCGACCTGCGCTGCTCCTAAGTGTAACCCTGAGGTGGCCTGCAGGGCCCCAAGCCTGCATCAGTCAGTGGTCGGACTTCTGCAGGATCTAGGCTGCCGTTAGGAGCTGAGAAGGGACCAAATATCATCCCCCTCCATGGGATGCAGGTGTACCCGGCCCCACAGACCAGTTTATTCAAACGACACTAGGCACCTATTCTGTGCCAAACATAAACTCAGGCTCTAGATGCCATTAGCAGTTCAGAGAAACACTCGCCTTTGTGGGACAAACATATTTGCAGAAAACAAGTAGAAAAATTACAATACCTTGTGATCAACAGTTCTTTAATACAGGTAAATACAGGATACTGTGAAAGCTCAGAGAACAATACTTAACCAAGGCACAGAGTAAGAAAAAAGGGAGTGATACCCAAGCTGAGACCTGAAAGACTGTTTCATTCAACAGTTATTTGTTGAACATCTACGTACAGGGCAATGTTCTAGGCACTGGGGACACAGCAGTGAACAAAATTAATCTGTCCTGAATCTAAATAAAATGTATGTCAGTTGGGGAACTATGAGAGGGAAAAGTAAGGCTACCAAAAGATATGGAATACTGGGGTGAGAATGTTAGAGTTTTAAAGAGGGTGGTCAGGAAGGCTTCACTGAGAAGGTGACATTTGAGCAAAGACCTCATCTGAATAAACTGGTACTGGGGCCGGGTACACCTGAATCCCATGGAGGTGGGTGGTATTTGGCCCCTTCTCCTTGAACGGGTAAGAAAAAGAGATGATGGAGCTATTTGGTATTTTAAGAAAATGTGTCTGGCATGTTAAAGGAACAGAAAGAAGGGAATGATGCACTTTCTCCAGTATGATCACTTTCTAAGGGATTTTCAATCTTGACTGTGTTTCTTGCCTTAAATGTTGTCTTCAATTCTTGTAAAATTCAACCATGAATTTTACAGGGGGCAGGGAGGGGAACGGTGCTGAGTAGGGTATTTAGAAAAGGCCTTCTTGACAAGAACATATAAGGTAAGCCCTTTAAAATGATGGAGTCAGCCCTGGAAAAGCTGGAAGAAGCTGGCAGAGAGCAAAGCAAGGGTGAAAAAGACCTGAAGGCAGGAGAGAACTCAGTAAGTGTGAGGAACTGGTTAAGAGTTCAATAGGCCTGAGGTGAGATTGGAGAGGTGGGCAAAAGTCTCAGGCATCTTAGCTTTATTGGCATCACATGAGAATCAACTGAAAGTTTTCAGCAGAGGACTGACAAGATCAGATTCATGTTTCAGAAAGATCCCTCTGACTGCTTGGAAGCTATATCGGATAATTTTTCTGGTTAAATTTATGCAGGTTTGGCTGCTCATCCCAGAGGTGCAAGGAAGATGGTTTAAAATGGAGCAAAGTGGGAACTCCCATCCTGTTTCCTCCCCCATCTCTTTACAGCTGGAATGAGCTGGCTGGGGCAGGTGGTCATCTCCCCCATGAGCACAGGTGGACAGAGGTGACACCTTGTGTCCCTCGGACCCGTCAGACTCCATGGCTGGGTCTACCTTAACCAACCCATCAGGCCCCCTCCCTCTGCACCCTTTGAATATACTACGTTAAATAATCTTCTCAAAGGTTCTGTCATGCTTCTCCTCCAGAAGCAGAAAGGGCTCCTCCTGCCTGCAAAAATAAGATTGGACTCCTTGCTTTGTTGTCCAGGACACGCTATGACCGCACCGCACTGTGATTTCCTTGAGGACTCATCTTTGCATCACCAGGGTCTACCACACATGGCCACAGTAAGTGCTCAATAAATGCTCAAAAAATTACCTTTCAATATCCATTTATTGAGTACCTGATGATGTGCTAGGCTCTAGGCTGAGTGATATATGCCATTTTCAGATTTAATCCTCACAATACCCCTCTGAGGGTGTATATTCAGCAGCCACATTTCACAAATGAGTAAATGGATTCAGACAAGTTACGTGCTAGGTTTATTCATTTGTCCATTTTACATACACTTTTTTGAGCACCTATGTTGTAGGTGATAAGGTCATAGCAGTGAAAAAACTAAAGGTTCCTGCCGCCAAGAAGCTCATATTCTAGAGGATGCTACACAAATGTTATAATGTATGTCGAGTGGTGGTAGGTGCTGTGAAGAAAAAAAGACCAATTAAGAGAGAGGAGACTGGAAAATGCTGTTTTCTAAAGGGTGATCAGAGAAGTCCTTGCTGGAAGAAAACATTTGAGTGGAACCTGAATGGGATGAGTAAGCCCCACAGATAACCTGGGGAGATCATTCCATAGGAAGGGGACAGTAAATGCAACCCAGCAGGTATATGGAGTGTAATGCATAAATACATGTGCCAAAGCAGGCCCAGTATAGAGTATCTGAGGAACAGAGTCCAGTGTGGCTGGGGAGTGGTAAGTGGGGAGAGAGGGATTCACAGGTAGTTACATCAGGACAAACTTTATTCTTGGTGAAATGCGAATCACTGGAGTGACAGGATCTGGCTGCTGAGTGGAGTGGACTGTAAAGAGGAAGGTGGGAGCCAATCCTAGGGTGACAGAGGATGGCGGCTTGGTCTAGGGCAGTAGCAGGTCTGTTAACCTCCCAGAGTGAGTGAGTGAGTGAGTGAGTGAGTGAGTGAGTGAGCTCACAGGAGGGGCTTCAGAAGGGCACAGGTGGGTTGGAGGTATTGAGAGCAGACTGTCCCTCAAGTGAGGTCCCAGGGCAGAATGGGTGGGTCTATGGGGGCCAACAAGAAAAATGACTTCTGGGACTCCAGAATGGTTCTCCAGAACGGCACGAGGGTTCTCTGCCAGTGCATTGCTTAGGGAGGTGCTCAAAGGAGGCAAGTGCCTGTGCAGTCCAGGCACCAGAAGACCTCTGTCAGATTCCCCTGTACAGGCCTGGAGGTCTCAACATTCTCCCCATGTTTAATGCCTTTTTCTTCTTTCTCTTCAGAAAAAGATGGATATAACAACAAAAGCAAATAACTGAAAAGAAATAACTTGATTGTTCTCACGTAAATCACATCAAGTTCTGTGTGTATCTTTCTCAGAAAAGTAAATTACATTCTTGCAGCAAATGGAACGTTAAACACTTTAAAGGCTCCAGTGAGAAACCTGTTCAAGTTCTGTGCCAGCTGCTGTCACTGTAATAGCCACATCGGGCTCTCCCCAGTGAAACCTGCCTCAGACAAGGTAACGAGTTACTCCTGGATGTCACTGCAGCCCCCTGTTTCAGCAGGGTGCCTGCTGCCTTTGAAAGCAGATGCCAGGTTCCAGCAGAAGACCCTGTTTCCCCATCAGCACCCCAAAAAAAGCATGAGTGAGTCCATATCTGCTTGGGCATTGAAATGGAAGAAGTCTCAGAAATAGTATCATAGACAGCCTGGTAATATGTAAAACATGGATCAATGGATAACAAGGGGCAATAGTGTAATCCTTTCTGATTGCTTTTTGAGTTTCTTGGTGTCCTGAGCTTTCAGCCTGTTTATTGTCAAAGTATCAAAATCTAGGCCCCACCTGGAAAGGAGAAGACACTTCTGTTTTTGGCAAACACCTAGTTCATTCAGAACATATTGCCTCATTAGATTACCTCAAAGTTACTTGTAGGATCCAGGCAGGACTGGCAGACTGAAACAACATGGCCAAATGTGATATTGTAACTTATAATAAATATATATTTGGTCTTCCATTTTCATTCCTGACACAGAACTCCTAAAATCCTTGGAATTTCCTAAGTACTGAGAGTGCTAAAGGTGTCTTTTGTTATGTCTCACCTACACCCCAAACCCTGCCCCACCCAACCAACCTTCTGGGAGGGGAGAGAGTTGGAGATTGAGGCCAGTTACCAATGGCCAGTGATTAATCAAGTGTGCCTGTATAATGAAGCCTCCATAAAACCCCAAAGGGACAGGGGTCAAAGAGCTTCCAGGTTGGTGAACACACAGAGGTGCTGGAGAGAGGTGCACTAGCTTCCGTGCCCTTTCTCCACACCTTACCCTGCGCATCTCTTCCTTCTAGCTACTCCAGATTTAGGCCTTTTATAGTAAACCTGTAATATAGTAAGTAAAATGTTTCTCTTGAGTTCTGTGAGCCATGATAGCAAATTAATTGAACCCAAGGAAGGGGTTATTCGAACCTGCAATCTATAGTTGGTCAGTCAAAGCACAGGTAACAACCTTAACTTAGTGGTTAGTGTCTGAAGTTGGGGTGGTAGAGGCGGGGCTTAACCTATGGAATCAGCTGCTATCTCCAGGTAGACAGTGTCAATTGCCTTGAATTATAAGACACCTGGTTTTGGTACTGGAGAATTGCTTGGTGTTATGGGGAAAGAAACACATGCTGTACCAGGTTTACCCAGAGAGGAGCTCCAGTGAAGGCATAAAAACAGTTGCAGTGCAATATCCAGAAGAGGCAAATCCTTAGAGATGGAAAGTAGATGAGTGGTTTCCAGGCCCTGGGGGACGGGGAATATGAGGAGTGGCTGCTAATGGGTATAGGGTTTCTTTTTGAGGCAATGAACATGTTCTAGAATTAGATAGTGGTAATAGTTGTCCAAACTCTGTGAATACACTAAAAACCACTGAATTCTATACTTTGAAAGGGTGAATTTTAAGGAATGTGAGTTGTATCTCAATTTTTTTTTAATTGCAGAAGAAAAAGCTTACGGGTCTCTGGTAGCCACTGGAGAGCTCTAACGTCTGAACTCCTTTGCTAAGCAGCCCCCTCACACTGAAGTGGATATAGCCTGGGACCTGAGCAGTGTGAAGGAGCCTTTGTCCCGGTGGAGAACTTCCAGTCTGAGGACATGTAAATATCAGGGCCCATGGCAATACTCTGTGGCCAACCCAGTCCAAATAGTGATTGCCTGAATAAGCAAAGCCAACCACCACATACTTGCTTTGCTCTTACTGCCTTGAAGGCCTGCAAGGAGAGTTAAGATGTAGGTTCTTCTCAAAACCTATCAGACACCTGTCTCTTTGCCCTTTATCTTTGGAGTGAATTCCAAATCTGCAGTTGTCCCCCCTTTGGGTCAGGCCTTAGGCTGAGTGTTGGGTTCACACAGAGGCCTCTCACCAGTTGTGAGCTGTAGCTCCAGGAAGGGAGGCAAACTCTGACCCCCACCTCACCTCATACAGCTCACCCTTCTTTATGACCAGGCATGGGGGCCTGTGGAGCTGAGACAGATGAATTAGAGAAGCTGGGTGCCAGTGGGAGATGCCCACATTGTAGCCAAGTCAGAACTGAAGCAGAGGGCATGGGATCATCAGTGTAAGGTGGGGAAGTTTTGTCCCCTGGCCTAGCCCAGGCTGCTTTGTGAATCGAACTACCAGATTCCACTAGAGTATTAAAAAAACAAACACTAAATGTTTATTTGCTTTATATTTACAAAGGTGAGAGGAGACCAAGGAATACCCCGCAAACACCCCACACCTGGCTGACCAGGTCCCTTGCACTGCAGAGGAGGCAGACACGGCTGGAAGGGACAGGATTTATGTTGCATACTTGAACTACAGCGAGTGTAAGACTGGTCCTATTTACAGGGCAGAAACACTACAGGGGAAGCATGGGCGGCAGCACAGCAAGCACCAGAGTCCTGGCCAGAGGGTACCCCTGCGTGCTGCCTTCCCCACCTCTCCCAGAGGCATCTCTATGGCCCCGCTGGGGTTCTCTGGCAGGGGAAACGGGGCCTGCTTACATGATGCTCGCCGGGGTGAAGACAGGGCCCACACACAAGGTGTCAGTGATCTCCCAGCCACAGGACAGGGGCTTGCACATGCCCTCAGCATCCTTATCCTGTTCTGCAGGCAGTAGCTGCCCTTGAAGTGCTTCCCTGTAGGCAAGAGGGGTACTGGAGCAGCCAGCATGGGGCCCGAAGGCCAGGGGCTCCTGATCGCCCCTGCATCAGAAGATCTGGCCCCATCAGGCACAGGGTTCTCACCTGAGCCCCAAAGCCCAGTCTAGGACAGGAGCAGGCATGGCCTGCTGACCCATCCTCCCCCACTGCACTCTTCTCCCCTGTAGTCCACCCACAGCAGGGGAAGGGAACCTTCATTTACTGAGCACTTACTGCATGCCGGACATCGTGCCCGGCACTGTATTTACATTATCTGATTGTATCCTCCCCAAAACCCTGTAAAGGCAGCATTATCATCCCCATTTTACTGATAGGAAATTGAGACTCAGAAGTAACCTGCCAAATGTCACATACCTAGAAGGTGGCAGAACAAGGATTCAACTGGATTAACTCCAAAGCCCACATTGTTTATACCTCAAACTTAGTACTTAAAAAAGTAATCATCTCTTGCCCCTTCAGAAAATATTACAAACTCCTTCTCCTCCTGTCTACCTATATTGGTAAAGGGCTCCACTATCCCATCAATTGCTCTAGCCACATTGTGAATCATTTTCCCACTGCCACTGCTGTCTCTAACTGGAACGGCACAGTCACTTTGATCTGCTCTTGAGTTGAGCAGCTTCCCTCTGCTCTCAGGCCCTGCCCATTCCAGTCCCCTATCTGTCTGAAGGCCTCCCTCTTTGCTGAGGTGTGCAATTCATCAGCAAGTCAGTAGTTGGTATCTGTACAGAGCCTGGCCAGGCTCTTCCCTTCCAGGTGGGAAGCTCTCTGAGCTAAGCACCCTCTAGCTCTTTATCTTTCAAAATACATTGATTCAGTTTCTTAAGATCCCTCAAAGCTCCCTACTACCCTCAAAATAAGTCCAGTCTGGGCCTCCGGGCCCTTCTTGATCCAGTCTTCCCCTGTGCTACTCCATCCAAACGGAGCTACTTGAAGTCCTTTGAATGAACTGGACTCAAACCCTCACACCGCTCAGCCCAGACCAGTGTCCTATCAGCTTATCTGTCCCTGGCTAACTCCTTACCCATCAGGTGGGGCCTCCTGAGGAGCACTCCTGACCACCCCTCCTCAGCCTCCTTCCAACAGCTTCCACCCTCTGAAGCTACTCTCCAACCCCAAATGGGGAACTCTTCACAGCTAACTGGATGGGTGACCTCAAGCAAGTGGCCTGATAACTGATTCCACAGAGTTGTGTGTGAGTGAAAGGAAGTCCTGCCTAACATAAGGCCTAACAACGGTTCAACAAACATGACTTTCTGTCTTGTGCACTGCTGGCCTTGCTGGATTCCAACACTGGCCTGGTAAGGCAAGCAGGGCAAGTGTGATGCTCATTTTCTAGATGGAAAGATGGAAGCTCACGAGTAAGCAAGTCTTTCCCAGTTCACAGAGCAGTCACCCAACCGGTCAGCTCCATCCATATCTACCCTTGTCCTCCCTCAATCCACACAATAACTAGAGTGATCTTTCTAAAATCCAAATCAGACCATGTCACTCCCCTGCTTCAAATCAATCCATGCTTCCCATTGCTCAAAGCCCTTTACTGTCCTTCAAGGCCTTTCCCAGATCCGGCCCTACTCCCTCCCAAGGTACACGTGTAGTTTCTTGAATGGAGCATGCTTGCCCTGGGTTCCTTCTACCTGGAACTCCCCCCTCTTGCTGGCTAACTCCCACCCATCTACTAGGCTTTGACTTCCTCATTCCTTCCTCAGGAAAGTAAGTCAGCTTCAGGGAGAGCTCTAAGCTTCTGCAGCCCACCCCCACCACCCAGTATTACCAGGAGTATCTGTCTGCTTCTCTGTGTCTCCCAGAGGGCTCTAAGCAACTCAGGGAAGCTCAGTCTCATTCATGGCCAGAGCCAGGTGCCTTGCACAGGCCTCACTAGGAGTAAGCAGCTAAGTGTGACTTGTCAAATTGGATTACACAGAAACAGGGTTTCCAGGTTTCCCTCATTGCTCTGCCCTGCCTGCCCCCCTTCTCCCAACTCCATTCCCCAGCAAGACCCCCTTACCAGGCCACTCGGGACATGGCATAGGTGATGCGGCAGGTCTGGGTCCCTCTGAGGAAGGAACCCATGCCCACGGTGTAGGCGCCCATGTTCTCAAAGACCAGCCAGTCCCCTGTGTGTAGTTGTGGCAGCCACAGACCCTCAGCTATACAGTCACAGCCATCAGCTACTGGGCCCCACAGGCTGCTGCTGTACAGGGGCCGCTCCATGGATGGTTTCTGCAGGAGAGAGGAATGGCCACATTCAGCTTTTTGGGGCATAGTGTGCACAGCCTTAGCAGTCCCTCAAAAGCCTTCCATGGCTCCCATAGCCAATAGAACAAAGACTGAATGGGATCCTAGCTTGGCATTTAAGGCCTTCCCACTTCTCTGCATTCATATTATCTCATACTTTAAAGCCACAGTGCCTGGTCTTAAATCACGGCTTAAACTGGCTTGCTTTGTGACCTTGGACAAGATGATTAATCCCTCGGGGCCTCAATTTGCTCATTTGTAAAATGGGAATAATTATAGGCCCTACCCCATAAGTAGGTACTATATGGGGGTGAGCCATCCTGTTGACCCCCATCTCTCCCATGCCTAGCAGTCTGGCATACAGTAGGTACTTTTTTGAGTAATATCTTTTAAATGAATGAATGAATGAATGGGAAATATGTGAGGAGAAAGAGCAAGAAAGAAAGAAAAGCCATCCAAAGGCCTAGAAGGATGCAGTGGAGACAGTAGGGGGGTTAGAACAGTGTGTGGCATGCGGCAAGAGCCAGTAAGTTAATCCTGTCATGATTGTGGCTGTCACCTCTGCTTTGATCTTTACTTTGATATCTGCCACTTTGTAGTCCCTGGCTGCAACCACACCTCTGCAGCTTCCTTAGATCCAGCTTGTCTCTGGGCCCAGCCCCAGGGGTCCCTCCTCTATGAAGGTCTCCCAGATTTCCTCATTCCTTGCCAGGACAAGTCACAGCAACCAGAAGTACACAGGTAAGTTATACCCACCCTCCCTCAGGCTCTCAGTCTGATGAGGAAGATGGGCATTGTGGGGAAAATGGAACTTCCCATGGCCAGGATCCTCACTTGACCCTAAACTGCTTGATGATGTAAGTAGCCTACTGCTAGGCTACCACTTCCACACCCTAGGCAATAAGCTGTTACTAACTGAGTCACTGTATAAAGAGCTCTGCCCAGTACTCTGGGTAGAGGCAGAGATGGGGGTGGATCACTGTCCTGCAGACTGCTGGATGTAGATGTGATTCTAGTGTTCAACCTACCACCGTGAGAATGAAGCCAGGTGTAAATCCTTTTACCCCAAAAACGTTCCATTGTCATTTCTCAGTCTCACCAAATCCATAGTGAACTTGGCCTAGGCTGAAACCCTCAGGCAAGACAGGCTTCCAACAGGTTATCACAGGGCGATCTGTTAGAGGTCACAGGACCCCACGAAGTAGATATTATTCTTCCCATTTCAGGGAAAACTGAGTCTGAGAAGTGACGTGACTTGCCCAAAGCACAACTACCAATTACATAAAATTTTAAAAAAATTTTAAATCATTTCCAAATCCAGAAAAATAATCCGTAATGCAGTCCATTTACAGACAACCAAAACACCAATTCATTTTGTCACAGTGTAAGGATCCAGCCAAACAGGTCCCAGAGACGGAGTCATGACTGAAAGATGGACATGAGCAAGTCCTTACGGAGCCCAAGGAGGCCCCTCACTGCATCTTCCACCGTGCTCCCTGTGTTCCAGTTACTGCAGGTGCTGTGGGATACCCAGGTAAACCCTGCTTACCTCCCCAACCCCAGCCTTCCTCACACTGTTCCCTGAGACCCCAGACCTACCAACTCCTAACTTCCCTTTGGATTTCAGCTAAAATGGTCTTGTGAAAGCTTTTCCTAAAGCTCCATGCTCTCCCAAGATTGGCTTTCATAGTATTTACCATAGTTTACAATTATATATTTGTGAAATATATCTACGCAGGCCTGTCTTCCTGTCAGACTATCAATGCCATGAGCCCAGATACCATGACTGTACAGTTCACCCCTATCTCTCCCATGCCTAGCAGTCTGGCATACAGTAGGTGCTTTTTTGAGTAATAGTTAAGTGAATAAATGAATGAATGGGAATTGTGTAAGTGATGAGAAAGAGCAAGAAAGAAAAAAGAAGATATGAATTAATACAAGCCATCCAAAGGCCTAAAAGGATGCAGTAAAGACCAATAAAAGAAAAAAGAAAAGTTGTTTTAATACCTTAGCCAGCAGAAGTGAGTAAAATTGAGAAAGAAAAACCAGTTTCCATAAGCAGAAGTAATTTATATGTTTGACAAAAAGTTAAGCCATTAGTCTCCTTAATAAAGAAAAACATGTACATGTTATTAAAATCAAGAGTTCAGCCTATCCCACGTTTGTTCATGTAACAAATACTTATAGAGCATCAGCTGTGTGCTAGGCTCTGAGGATGAACTGGGGATACAGCAGTGAACACAAAATGAAGTTCCTGTGCTTATGAAGCTTACATTCTAGGAAGGGGAGACAAACAAATGTGTCTTTGTTCATATAACTTAACATTCCTGTACAAACTTACTGTTAATGAGTAAAAGTAATTTCATGTGTTCTGAATTATTTCCCTGAGCTCCATTTGCTAAAAAATATTAAGCTAACTTTAAAGATTGGTGGTGGGGAGATGCCATATAAATGCATCCACAGAATCCTTCAGAAAATAGGTTTGAAACATTCTTCCACTATAAAATAAAAAGAAAAGATACCTTTGAGTTATAATAAGATAGTTATCTCACCTCTTATTGTATAAATAAAAAGTTGGTGTAAAAACATTTTAAAACAGGAAATAATGCAAAACTTTTGCTATTTAAAGCCTTTTTTTTTTAAGAAACAAAAATGGAATCTGCAAAATAAATACTCCAATAGCCTGAGACCTATAGACGTACAGCTTACAGGTCTCAGCTGTGTATGCATCTGAAAACTGGAATGAACAAGCACCTGTAAAAATGTAAGATGCCCAGCCTCCCCTCTGAGAGAGAACAGGGGGTTCCCAGCTTACAAAGCACTCCAACCACTACTTCACACCTCATCTGAGAGGCAGCTCAGTTCCCATTCTATAGATGAGAAAACTCAGAGAGGAAGCAACCTGCTCCAGGCTCTGGAGGGAGTATCAGATGAGTAGTCCCAGACAAGGGACCTCCTAGCTGCCCTGACTGGCTGCCTTCCTCAGAGAGGCCCAATATGCTAGTGGATCCATGGAAGAAGCAAGGTCAAACACTTAGGACGGCCTGTAGCCCTATTTGAGTCCATAAATAATTCCCCAACTTGTAATGAATAACCCAGTATTTCCTATACTACATAAAGTATACAAAAATGTTTTTTAAAGGCAAAAATGGAAGAAACAAGGGCAGCATACAAAAAGGCAAAAAAGACACAAATGAAAAACCAAAAAAAAGGCCAAAATTTCACTTGTGAACATACAGGCAAATATCCAAAATGAAACCCTGACTAACCGTAGCCACACTCCTATTCAAAGAACCACCTTCAAGGATCAGATAATTTGTCTCTCAGTGGGAGGCAGGACTGATGTGAGTAGGTCAATCACTTGATCACTGGCTTCATCATAATTTAGCAAATATAGATCTATAATCCAAATTGAATTTTCCCAATACATGTCAACATGGCATTCAGTGGCCTGTAGCATGTATTCTTGATTAAAACTACAGACAAAACCCCACAAGGAAGAGAGACTATTAAAATAAGGAGGCAACTCTAACTTAATGGAGATACACTAGAATGACCTCATTTCAGAACCAGAAGCAACCTTAGCACTTAAAGGTCAGCCCCCTTATTTTCCAGATGAATAAACAGAAAAAAGGCTCAGAGAGATTAAAATAACTTGCCTAATATTACTCAGCTAGTATAATGGCAGAGCCAGGACTTGAACCCATGTTTTCTGACTCTTAAGTCTGAAGCTTTCTGTCATCATGCCTTTTATATATCATGAGAAATGCTGGCATTAACTATTAGTGGGGAGAAAAGAAACAAGAAAGGTATAGTATATAGAAAATGAAGAAAGAAAATATCACATTTCAGATAACAAGTTTGCCCACCAGGAAAATCCAAAGGGGAAGGGGTTGCTACCAGGAAATCAGTGAGTTTTCAGTGTGCAAGTCAGCGTCTCAGCTCAAAGACATGGGAGCATTTCACTCAACAGTAATGAAAGTATTAAGTTATCAAGTTCTTGGACGTACTTGGGCCACAATAATGCTTACTCAAAGAAAGTAATAAAACTTTAATGGGAAAAATAAAGTATAAGAATTCTATCCTCTTCTAGCTGGAAAGCTTAATAAAGCAAAAAGAGAATTTTCCCTAATTTAACAAATAGATTAAATAAATTGCTATTTAAATAGATTAAATAAATTACTACTAATTAAAGTCCCTGAGCTACTTTTCTAAATGTTAAAACAATATGATAAAAGAATAAATGTGAGTCTATCAAAGAACATTAACAATGACAGACTCAATTTTTTGTTAAATATTTAATTCATACAAAAGAATATTTTTATTGTATGTAAAAAAGAAAACAATAAAATGAATATCTGTGTATCCAGCTCAAGAAATATAAAATTTCCAGTACCTCTGAAACCCGCTGTGTGTCCCACCCCAATGACATCCCCCATCCCTGACCCTTCCAGGGATAACCACTATCTTGAGTTTTGTTTTCCTTATTCTCTTGCTTTTCCTTGTTTTTCATGAACATATCTAAACAATATACTGTTTAGTTTTGTGCACTTTGAAATTTATGTAAATGGAATTATAAAGTATATAAGCTCTGCAATGTGCTATTTTTGTTGTTGCAATTTACATTCTCAAGATTCATCCAACCCATGCATATAACCACAATTCACAGTATGCTGCACAGAACTCAGTGTATGGATACACTGTTACTTATCTGTTACATTACCAACAAACAGTAAGGTTGTTTCCAATGTTTTACATTATAAAAATTGTTCTTGTGAATATTCTTATATATGTCCTCAAACACATGCCAGGAGTTTCTTCAAAGTATATACCTAGAAACTTGCTGGAAGGTAGGGTATACACATGTCTACCTTAACTGAATGTCAGCTTGCTTCCCAAAGAAATACCAAGTCCCACCTAGCAGCCTAAGAGATCCAACTACTTTATAGTCTTACCAAAATTGATACTATCATGCTTTAAATTTT